AGGCTACAATGGTGATTATCTTCACGAAGAACATGTCTTCAGTGGCTTCCCCTAGCCATTTAATTTTATTTAGTGAAATCACACCAACTTACCCTGGCACTATATGCTAGATGCAATGGGTTGCCTTCCACCTGCTGCAAATGGGTTCGTTAATTTTAATTTGATGCGCTCAAAAGTTGGTAGAATTTTCTGGTTTCGTATAGCTATAAAAAAGTTCTTATAAAAATGGTAAGAATCCACTGAAACAGGGAAAATAAAACCCTTTTTGACAATCTGGGAAAATAATGGTGTTCTTAATCGTGTTAAAAATTCTGGCAAAAGGGAGATGGATGACGCAGGTGACTGCTTTGAATTTATTTAATATTTAGCGCATTATGTCAGAGAATGAACTAAGATGCATCGTATGAAACCACGACTAGCTTAAAGGGTTTTTACTCCATAGAGATATTTCAAAATACCCACGGACTAATAAGCAAAAGTAGTTTTGACTAGACAGGTGAAGTAAGGAAAATGGGGTCTTCGGGTTCGCAATAGCGACATTTCGGCATTTTCCTCCAAAATATTAGCCAAGTTAGGCTTTCAACAATGAAGCCAGTGGCACTTCCTTTAAATAGCAATTTTGAGGGGTATCATGAAGTCGAAACCTCCTGCGACTCTGTTCCGTCGTTTGTAGGCCAATGGGAATTCAGTGATCTTAAGTTTGGCCATTTACGGTTGAAATACCGTTAGTGTGATATTTTTTAATAGCGCTTTTACCACGTCTTCTTTATTTTAGCAGAACGCATTCCCAAATAACTAACCCTTCCAGTGGAGAATAACGCAAATAAACTTAATTTTAAACCGAAAACTGGGGGTTGAAGTCCTTACATTGCCGACAAATCAATAGGTGAAATTCTTACGAACACACGTGATCGTACATTCGAGAAAATAACTATCGCCACTGAAGTTAGTTGTCTTCACTTCGAAGTGGAAATCAGGTGACCTCCGACCCTCTGCAACAAGTTCTTGTGCGAAAAGTCATTGAAAACGACGAGAAAGCCTTTTTTTTGAACACCAACCAAGCTCAGAACTGACATACACAACTTTGGACGATCATTTTAGGATATCAAAACTTACTTCCTCTGTGAGCTAGGTAAATTTATCCTGATTGCAAAAATCCTATAAATCTATGAAGCCAACTATTACGAATGCTGAATTTTCCCTTCCATCGAAAATGGCAAAAACCTATGAGCTTCGAAGAATAATCTAATTTGCTTTATTTTACAAAATACTCTCAATCAGTTACAGAAGCCGAGTAATCATCGAGGATCACGATGATAACAATAGCCAAGTCAACAACGACGTCAAAATCCCTGCTGCTGAAAGACATGATCAAGGAAAGAGTCGAAGTAAAAAGAAATAAAGACAACGGAGAAGCATTTCTCAACTCTTCTCTTGCCTTCGCTTACTCCAAAACCGCCTATGGTTCTGCCCATCTTTGTCCAAACTTAATGAAGATGACGACAACGTGAAGTGGAGGTTTTCCGAACTCCTAGTCAGTCCTTCTTCAAAGTACTGCTGTTGCCGTAGTTGCTGATAGTGGTGGTGATGACGGACGTGATTATGACTGCCAAGAGTGAGGTTGTGGTTCTGATACAGCTTCCTCCATCGATCCGTTGCCGTCGTCGCTGCCTCCTGCTCACCACTGATAGGAATGTCCTCCGCAACTGGCTCTGCTCGGAAGTTAGCGTTGGTAAAGACAGAGGGCCGGTGGGTGGAAACGGACGTAGGAGAGAGCACGCCATTCATCGCTTCGTCCGAAAGAGCATCTGAGAGATCCACCGTTTCGTCTGAAGTGAGGCGAATCCTGCGATAGAGGGGAGCCATCGCGGCGAGACTAACAGTGGTGGAGGGATGGAGGCGTAGGAGCCAGGCATTTCGAATAGCACCCACCACCAACAAGACTGAAGCAAAGCAGTGGTAGCTAGCGTAACGCTCCAGCCTTGGGAGAAGTTCCTCAAACAGCCGATCTCGCAGCGCCTCCATATCATCAGAAGGGGATGCAGAACCAGCATTCGGGTCTGCGGGTTGGGAAAGCTCGAAGGAGAGCATGAAGAGGAGCTTATCAATGGCAATGCTGAGGTCAATGAGGAGAACGGAGTGATGGTGTTGACTGCAGGATAGAATGCGATGCGTGTTCAAGGCAGTGAGACGCTCCACGAGGTCGCAGAAAGTACGGATGGAAAAGATTACGATACCCTGTTGTTGATCTGTACCCTCTACAAACTGACGCGTTAGAATGTCTGCATAGATGCGGACTATGCAAGCAGGATCAGGGTTAGGGAAAGTCGGAGGGGGTAGAGTGCCAGTGCTTGTAGCGTAATTGAACCTCAAAGTAGCAACACTACTGCTTGTGGTGATGGTTTTGGGTGTCTGGGACTTTGTGGCAATACTGAAGGGAGGTGAATGATAGACGGAGGCGACTCCATAGTCGGGCAAATTTGCAACGCCACTGCCGCAGTATTCAGGACATCGAATGAAGGCGGGAGCGAGTTGACAAAATTCGGAGAGGAGGAAGGCGAGTGATTCCAATGGCCCAGTGGGGACGGACATATCATCGAGGCTGAAGGTTGCCTGGGAGTTACGGTGGGACTGGGTAGGAGACGACGGTTTGACACCCGTCGACCCTGCCGATGCTGTCCCCGCATCAGTGTGGAGGTGGACGAGATAGGTAAGAAGCATGGTGGGAAGAAGGAGGGTGACGAAGAGCCTGGATTTCTTGTCTCCCGAGAGGTAGGCGTCGTATAAGGTGTGGCATATGATGTGAATCTCTTCGGGAGATGCAAGGTCTTTGAAGATCTTTACGATGCCCTCTACCACCTGCACGTCGTACATGAGTTTTGAGCCCTCGCGTATCTCTTGTCTTGGCTGGAAGGGGTTCTTGAGCCATTGGAATAGATACTGGATTTTCGATTGAACGTTCTGAATAAAAACGAAACAAAGCTAGCAAGATTGGGTAACCACAAAATATCACGAATCAGTCCTGTCACTCAAAATGATCATTTCATCTACGGGGACAAACAGTCGCTTTGATAAGCATGCAATATTGTGAATAACTGGGAACGGAAAAGACCTTTAAAAATCAGGAACACTAGTAGCAGTGCTCGAAAAGGGGTGATTTTGCCGCCTGAGAACGTTAACCTCAGACTAATCAGACTAACTAATCAGACTAATCTTCACGTCCTATTTGCCCGTCCATGTAACATCGAACACTCAACATTTGGTTCAGTAAACTCCTCTGGGGACAAAAATTTCAATGCTGAATATAGGGCCATTTAAACAACCAGACATACAATTCAAAATTGTGTAAACGATAAAAAGAATCCCCCTCAGTTTCTCGACAAGCAAGGCATGAGGTCCCAAAAAATACTAAATTTTCCTACCAATAAAATTAAATATCCACAATAGGGAGGAATATGAGCTGGGTTTTCAGGACCTTAAAAAGTGAGCACTACAGAAGCAACTGAGGTGGTTTATAAATAACGGTTTCAGATGTAGGAGCACACAAGAGCTAATAATGTGTAGCAATGAGACTGCAAATCAGACTCCAGCATTACCTTTTATCATCGCACATTTGCAAATGAAAAACAGCTAAAATTGGGGATTCACAATCCACAGAGGTAAGGGTCGTTATATCACTGTAAGGAGAGAGTAAAGGAATGACCTCCACCCGCCTAAACAAACGGGCAGGTGCATCCCTTCAGAAGAGTAATAAGAAGGTGGGAAGGAATAATAAGAATCTAAAAATCGAATGCGCAAGCGCAAATGACAAGGCGAACCTATGACTCTTACCATGGCGAGTCTTTTAACTACACCTTTCTTCTTGAGCTAGTCTCAAAACTGAAGCGGTAGAAAGCGTGGAAGCTAATTGATATAGCCAGTTAAGTACCAATTTAATGCTAGAAAATAGTTTCCCGTGGGAAGAAAGGGAACTGCGATAAAAGCTATCAATGTAGCATATGAGAAAAAAAGGGAGAAATAGACAGAAACCACACAAATGGCAAATACGGTATAAAGAGCAATGGAGATATTTGTGCCGACGAAGGTTTAAAGTATTGACGTAATTTATCTTATCCGGAGATGGCATAATAAATCAAATTTTACACAGTTTTTACCACGTTTGAGCAAAACCGTGGACTGAAACTAACCAGTGAATGCAAAGCAAAATGCATTGAAGCCAAACGTATGAGTTAACTAAACAACTTACCAGTGTAAACAGTGTTAAAAGTCGGTCGTTTCAATAATGCTTGAAAACAACACCTAAACGACCAATAATAAATCAACCCACGATAAGTGATTTAAGGATTTTCTAGGTGTCACATTATATCATTTAGACGGCGAGGTTGAATCCTCTTAACTATCCAGAGACAAATCTATTTTAATTTGGTCTAAATGAACGTAGGACCTGAGTAATGCAAAATAGACAATTTTCGCCTTGTTGGGAAGTAATGCTGGACAAACACGTTATACGAACCAAAGAGAAGATGGTGTAATAAAATAAAGTCCACTCCGGTCACAATTGACGCTTTTGACCCTAACGCACTAAGTTCTTGCACCATTGAATGCCAACTCCCCGTAAAAAAATATGTGAACAAAATTTGTTCATTCAATTAATTCCTAATACTTAAAAGCACGATGAAGAGGACAGTCACGTCAGAGCATCCAATGTCTTTGGCGACATAAGCTTAAACCTCTTCAGAACAACCGAATCATTAAGTAAACTACCATTTCTGAGGGAGACGTGCACCAAAACCTATGTACCACTATTTACTGGTAGTAAATGTACATTCTACCAAATGCATTTCACATCAATTCTATCAAATGGCCCTGAAAACTCCGCGAGTGGAGCCATAGAAAAGAAATACATTACGGTTGAATGCCAAGGTAGCAAATAAAAAACAGATTGCACTTCATTGTTCACTATATGCAGGATTCGTGATAACCGAACCAAGATTTTCGAAAGCTAACAAATGAAAGTAGAAAGGACGAAAGGATATAAACCAGCCATCCAATTAGAGGAGTTTAATAGACTCACCTGCTCCAAGCTTGTCATCCCCTCAAGATGACCGCATGGGCCAGGCGCACTATAGGCCCATCGATTCCCGGGATGATGTCAGCGCACAGCAAACTTGTAAGGACCAATAAAAGAGAGCTGATGTAAATTCAGTAATGTAAGCAGATTAAAGGAGAGGTTAGTGAAAACATGACGCACAATTTCATCGCAAACAAATTTTGTTAAAAAGGTGTTGCAGTGTGTAAATTAGGACATTCTTCCTTGTTCTACAGTGCCTCTTAGTCCAAGAATTTCGATGGACAAAGATCAAAGCACCTAGGTTTTGGAACCACGGAACCCTAGAAAGGCAATCGCTAAAGGACTTTTATTTATTTTGGCCTACATAATGCATTACTAGGAATATTAAAATAAAGTTCTAGCAAAAAAAGAATTTTCGCAATCTTAAAACTAAATTTAAACACTCGCTTGAACACACAGTCTTGCGGTGTGCACTTGTGGTCATAAAGGCAAAATAACCACCTTAAAATAGGAAGCTGCATAACAAGACCTGAATTTTTAGGACACGAAAATCTCTAAAAAACAATTCTGCCGTAGGCAATTACTTGAGAGAATACTTAGCTCTAAGGCTAACAATGTTTTGTTTAAATAAGTCCGTGTAAAGCTGATGCATTGAAATTGCCTAGTTGCGTATGGGTTGCGTGCGTGCTCACTTGTAAGGTACATTAGGTCAAGCGAGCAGGATGAGTGATTTCCTTGAAAGTCTGCGTACTGTTGATATATCCACCGGGGGTGCGTCTAAGGAACAGCATGAAAAATTAATTAGTATGATTGATCAGCTGAGTTCGAATGGCAATTGGGAGATCTGTGCCAATTTCGTTCTATCTGAACTTGAGAACTGCTCTTCTCCACAACAAATCGTAAACTTGCAGAATTCAGCTGCTCTGTTTGCGTGTTGCCGCTGCATTGAAAACCTCCTTAAGCATCCGTGAGTACAAATTAATGTCAGTATCACGTTATAGAATATCTTCTTACCCGGTTTCGGCTACTGAAGTTCAAAAAATGTCGGATTTTCTGAGGAATTGGGTCAAACTCTATGCCAATTGCCTTGATGGCCAAATCCAATCCGTTATATTAAAAAGAAAAATAGCACAGTCGGTGTGCCTGTCCATTATGCGGTACTATCCAAAGAACTGGCCAACCCTCTTTGATGAATTCCTGAGCCTCTTCTCAGAAGTTAGCGGTGAGTCAGCCTTAAAAAGGTCTTATTCTTTATTAGCGCAGCAAATGTGCCCCCCACTATCGAAATCTAATCCCGTACTTCTGAATCTTTTGGACGTTTTCTTGGAGGTTTTGCAGGAGCTGGATTCGATGGTGTTTAATCGAAGTCTTAATCTTACTAATGAGCAATTTCTCCGAACGTCCGAGATTAAGGATTCAATGCGAATTACTTGCTTGCCTCCAATTGTTGAATTGCTCGCTATGATCTTGGTACGTTTTTTTGCAGTTCATTTAGTTCATCTTCTTTTGTTTATTGTTTCTTTTGTTTCTAGAAAAACTTGCAAGTCGGCAATGCCCGAGAACTGAAGCTCATTTCCCTTTGCTTGAAAGTTGTTGGATTGTATGTCTTGTGGATTGACATAAAATTGGTAGCTAATGCGCAATTTATTGGCATCCTCCATTCACTTGTTCAATTTACCGAACCAGCAGTTCACCAAAGTATATGCTTCCTACTAAAAGGACTTGTCACCAAGGGAATGCCCGCATTTCCCGAGAAATTGTCCCTTATTCTCGGTCTATGGCCGCAGTTGCTGCAACCTTTGATCAATGCTCCGAGCACTGGCAAACTCCTTAGACGTACTTCATCGAATCCAAACCTGGACATTAACCGCGACGACAACGATTCGGAGGAATTTGTAAACTTCCTTCAAGAATTCTCCAACTGCATGGGGAGCATAGGCTATAATCTCACTGTCTCGTTCAAGTGCGTAGTATTCTATCATAATCTGTCACTTTATTCCACTAACCGTCCCATCAATCTCGTTTTCAGAGAACTGATGGCATCCAACCCCTCAGCCAACTCCAGCCATGACTCCTCAACTTGGCAAGCTGCTTACGAGGAGTGTGTGGAAAAACTTGAATTGACTCTGAATATTGCTATAAATTTACTCGCTTATGAAGACAACGACGTAGGTTTGGCCGTTGTGATGTTCGTCCAGGACTACCTGGAGCTGCTAAAGGAGAAGACACATGGGAAACCAAGTCTTTCCAATGGCTCTGCAAAACCCAAAATGTTTCTCGAGTTAACGGCGGACCGCCTCTTCAAACTTCGACAGCTTCTCAGCGTTCTTATGGAAAAGATAGAGTACCCTACGGAAAGAACATCTGAGGAGATTGTGGGTTGAGATTAGCTTTTTGTTGATCCGCCTAGTATTCAGATTATCACTGCTGCTGGTACCGCATTGTAGGATGATTTCGAGAGCGATCGTCAGGAGTATCTTTCACTCGTTCGTGGTATCGCTCGTGTTGATGGCGGCCTGGTGCTGGAAGGCATCCAGTCTCTCCTTCAGCATACTCTTCTTCAACTTCCTCCTAGCATGCGAGTGGAGGAGATTGAGGAAATGGTTCTCGGTCGATTGGAGTCGTGTCTCTATCTCTTTTTCGCCGCCGGTGAATTCTACAAGGCCCCAAGAAACGACCATTTCGCCGAAGGCTACTTGTATAATGCCAAAATGGGTGAATTAATGACCACAATTTGTTGCAGCAATATCTCCGCCATTGCTTATTACCCTATACAATTGGATTTCTTTGAATTAATCGGCCGCTATGACAAGTTTTTCAACTCATCACCCAAGCTCCTCTTCGACGTTCTGGTAATTCTGTAGTTATTGCTTTGTACTGTATGTACTGTGTTCACACGCAATTCTTAATCCACTTTTTTTCTCATTGCAGGCTGCGTTCTTGGACGAGCGAGGTCTTCGGAATTCGAACGTCAAAGTTCGATGTCGATGTGCTTATCTTTTCAGTCGCCTTATCAAATCTCACAAGTGCGTCTATTTGGATGTTAACTTTTTTGTATTGCCATGATATTCGTTACTACTTCTGTTATTACTCCGCTTGCGGTTTGCGATAGCAAAATATCGACTTTTAGTGATGAGGGTGATAATAGTAAGTGCCTGGATTTAAATTATGTAAATAGCTGCGCGATCAATTCACTTTCCATAATCTGGCAGCTTTGGTAGGGCAGCGCCTGTGCCACACGTATAGGCTGGTCGTAAGTGTGAGCTCACGTGTGTATGTGTATGCTTGTGCAAGCGCCGTTGCACACATACCAGCATGCTTTTAAATGAGGCCGGACTTTTATGCTGGCAGTTCGAGCTCAATGCGACCCTAAACACCTTAGCCTGCATTATCCATAAAGTGCTTTATCACACCTGGAATTAACGCTGTTGGATACGTTTCGTGCTTAAAAACTACTAGTCCGGTTCGTTAATCTTTTTATGTAAATTTTCGCAACTAAAGGATCATTAGTTTATAGAGCTACCCCAAACATGTCAATTCATTAGCTATGACTTGTATGCTCGTTCTTGTCTAGATATCCATGTCTCCTCCGTTACAGCTCTCGTATTGAGCCAGGTCGTTTCTGCGACCATCTCCACATCATTTCTTATCACTAATTGTTTGTCACAGTGTTACATTACCTCGGATTTCTTGCGTAAACATGGATGGCCTTTGAGCTTGGAGAGGGGTATTACTTCATATTTAATCAAGAATAATCGATATTTTAGTTTTAAGAATCCACAAGTGAATTTTTCGGATTCCTTTAGCTTGATTGTGCGGTTTTGAAAGCAAATGTTCGGTTTTATGTCCTCTGTGCAGCCGCACACAGATTTTCAGTTTAAAATGTCACATCACAACCACGATACTGGTTGTTGGAAGCCAGAGCTTGATTTGCACTTTATCTGTCCCACATTTAAGGTCTATATTCGCGTTACATACTGAGCAGATCCTACAACAACTGGAAAGCCTTCTCCCTCTTGACCCTACGCCTGAATTGCCTGGTTTAAAAAACATCAACGGCTTTCCCAAACCGCCCTCGATGCCTCTTCTCAACGGAGGTACGTTTTTCCCCGTGTGCTTTTAGCATATCCTCTCTGAGTATGCTGTGAAGAGTTTGCCGTTTGGGAAAGAAATGATCTTAGAAAGTACTGCTCTTAGTAAAAGTGTAACTGGTATTGTTGCTTTCTAGTGGTTGGTGCCTTAAAATTGCGTTTCAAGCCCAGAATTTGTGATAACTTCACTTGAATTATGCAAACAAGGGCAAAAGCATCATTTTCTGCTAAGTTGAGCTGAATTTTCTGCAATTTTGAACTATTATCGGTACTTTACGGTCACAAAAATACACAGGAGCTAGTTGTTCTCCATCGCCTAGGGCTTTTGATTTTGTTGCTTTCCACGTAGCCGGTGCAGCGAGTCCAAGGCTTTTCTCTATAGTGGAGCAGAGTTTTCTCTATGAGTCCTGCGCTCACCTCATCTCCTCACGTTCGTCCAACAGTGAGGGTGGGGGCGTCCGGGAGGCGGCGAGTCTCTTTGCAATGCTTCTGCAGCCCACCCTCCTTCAGTTTCCTCAAATGATGCGCCTTTTGGCTCAGGAGAAGGATCCCGATGTGGCTGAAGCTCGTGGCACCGTTATCAAGCAGACGGCTGATCTTATCACGTAAGCCACATCTGCTAATTTACCTTGACTTTTTGCTGTAAAGTGAACAAATACTGCATTTTAGAAGAGAGCGCGTCTTTCTCAGTGCGCTAGGACCTCTTATGAATAAAGTTGGCTTCACGAATCGGGTAGAAAGTAGATGTGTTCTGAAGATCTGTTTCCATTTAATCTACTCAATTTACGGACCGGAATCTTTCCAGTGCTAGATACTAGCAAACAAAGCCACATTATTTCCATCATTCGGTATTTTCATGCAGCTTAAAGCTATTTACTAACAAATCAGTTAAGTAGCGGGCAGAATATAAAATATGTACAACAATCTGTTCTGTTTAAGACAAACTGTCGTGTCTGCGTAATACTGCTGCTCCAATACTGACTCATGTGTACGCTTTTCGCCCCACTTAGTCGAACGACACGCGTTATGTCGCTACAGACACCACCAGAGCCAGAGTACGTGCACATTCTGATGAAGATTCTCGATGTGCTGGTGGGAAGTCTGGCGCTGCTGCCGCCGGTGGCGGGAGCGCCTGGTCGGGGAGCGGCCTGCGCCGGCGTCCGCGCTTTCATCCATCGCCTCATTGGCTCCATCGGACCGGAGTGCAATGTTGTAGTCAAGTCTGCTGATACCTCCGCAGATGCTGCGCCTGCCTCCTCTGTATCCGACGGTGGAGGTGGAGAAGGGAGCAGCGGTGACGACGGAGACGGTATTGGTCGTACTGCCTCCGATCTCCTTCTCCTTGCTATCTCCACGGCAAATCCTCACTTCTTGACCGTGCAGCACTCTAACGATCCGGGGTTGCCTTTGCAAGATCCAGATATCCGGTGGAGAGAGTTAAGGGAACATATACCTCTTTTCAGTCAATTGGCCCTTCGGTACAAGGTACACTGAATAGTAAATGTATTTCTTATGAATTCTAAACTATTGCTTACTGCCGCGAACTGTTGATCATATAACAATTGGATATTTCGGTTTTTCGTACCCATTGGCTTTTGGGGGTTAGATATCCATTTTTTAGTCTATCTTATCGTTCATCGCTTAGCTGCTAATACAGGGTGTCTTGATAGTTCAATAGTCTAGCTGTTTGTAGTTTACACAGTTGCTGTAATCCATCGGAACGTGTTCAGTAAAAACTTTCAGGCGCGACAGTCGATTCCTTATGTTCCAGCCCTTGCTCTGTGTAGCATTTTGTATCGCGGTATTTTTGTCTATCCAAGCCTCTTAGGAATTACGTTTTTATTGTTTATTTTCCATATTTAGACGCTTTTCAATTCACCCCGTAGGGGCTGTAGGCTCTAAACTGCCGTAAGGGCTAATTGAGAACGCTCTATTGAAGAAAGGTGTCAATGCTTGCACTGTGCTCCTGACGGGATTTCAATATAGGCACCTTAGTTCAACGTGCTATTATACTCTGCTTTATAAAAGTACTGAATTTATCTGAATTCATTGTTTTTGAGCCTTCGTGTACACGACCCAGTGATCACGTTATCTAAAGTCAAATAGATAACTGAAAACTGACTTGTTGAAGGCGTGTGCCGGTTGCAGTTGCCTCCTTTATTGATGTTTTCAGTACCAATAGATTTCTTCTAAAAGGATTAGGATAACAAGAACTGCCGACAAACCTAACCGCTGTTTGTGTAGAATTATCAATTGACCGGTGTGGAAAATCTAGTTCTGCCGATAGCTGCTTTCGTTGCAGATAGTTGTAGTGTGAAGTCCACAATTCTTGAAAACGCGTCTCACAAGTTTACTGCAACCCACATAACCGCCAGTAAAACAGTCGATAGATTAGCGCACAACTCGAGTTTTAATATTATCAAAAATCTGCAGGGCAACAAACTTGAATGATTGCGAAAACCTCTTGTCTTAGCAACTCAGAGTTGATAAATTAACAGCGGGAAGGCTTTGGTGCTGATGGCATATTTTTTCGTCTGCAGGATCGCTGCCTGCCCGTCCTGTCGGAGTGTCTGCCACCACTGATTGCTTCGACGATGGGTGCGTTGACCGAGCCACTAGAGGCGGCGCAGATGGTGGCAATGACAGAGCGCTGTGCCTTGCGACGCGCTCTCCTCCAAGCTCTCCAATCCATCGGCCAGGTCTTGCCTCAGGGTATCTTCATTGCCCTGGGTTCAAATGCTGCCAACGTAAGTTCTTGCTCTCTTCAATTTTGTACTGTGGATTCTTTTTGACTTTTTTGGGCTATTATCTTACAAACGAACTACTATGCCTTGTTTATATTTGGCTGGTATTAGTGCTTGATGACATTTAACTCCATAGTGAACTATTTAAAGGTGGTTGTAATACTATTTGAACTGTTACAAATAGGATTACCAGACTTCATGGACGCGTTCACTTGTTTACACGAAGATTGCTCGACTTCGTTAAACCTGTCCCTGAGACTTCTTGGATCGCTTAGGCAATCCTCTCTACAGTTTTGTTTCAGGTTGCGAATCTGTAGGAGATATCGGAGTTAATTTAGTGAGGTGGTACATTTGTATTTCAACTTCATGATCGGTCTCAGTTGTGGCCCGTAGTTAGGGAGGAAATATGGATTGTACTTCTACGTGATCTCTATACTACATTTCAAGTACTTAAATTGTGTTTTCTTATCTTCCGCGATGTATACGGCATTCGTATAATTAAAGTAAATTGCGATTTTTTCAACGCCTTTCATGTTCACGAGTTAGTTGCTTGATACCGAAACTGCTAATCATCTTGCTGAAGATGCCACCAAAATCAGGGCTTTTGCTTGATTACAGGAATGTAGGAGATTTAGTGAGATCAATCTTGCCATCTCTCTGATGTACACAGGTCTTAGTGTCGCTGGTGAGTCTGACAGAGGCCTGTTTGGAGGCGGAGGACGCCGTGGGCATGCGCTATGGTTTGACCTTCTTCCTCGGTTGCATCACCCACTTTGCTAGTGACGACACCTTCTATGAAAATTTTCTCCTTCCTCACCTCCTGCCCCTCGCCTTCCTGTCACCTGCCCGCTCCAACTTCCGCCTCAACGACGCTCAATTCGCGCTGACACTCAACGAGGCAGCCAGCTGCATCTATGCCCTCAATTCTGCCAGGGTAAGCTAGTTCTCTGCGAGGGCATTATGGTGACACGAGACCGACTTTCCTTTTTATTATTTGGCAATTCTGATATTGGCGTCTTGCCTACATCTTATCTATCTACAAATCAATTTGACCTCTTAGATATGCAGAAGTCTTGAAGTAAGCCTGTGGTTTGTTTTGTACCAGAGTTTGTAGATTTGGGAATTTGATTGGACATTCTGCGAGAGTGATTTATTTGGCTAAGCGCAGCAGCTTCGGATCCGAAGAGTTTACGATCGTTGCCTCTCTTTGAATGTCTGTAAAGCCTCTAAACTTCTCGAAGTCACTTTTGAACGCAAATTGTTTCATTTTACTAGGTTTGGATCATGCCTAAGTCGCATCGATTTGGAAATCTGTTAGACCTTAGTTCTGGAGATCATAGTCTCACCCTCAATAGATTGTGGTGGTTGTAAGCCATTTGTGACTCCTATTTGGAAAGCTCAATGTAATCACGTGCCCCAAAGGCTTTCCTTTAAGGTTTGCGGTTCTTGAGATCTCTCGGGAAATGTGGAAATATGTGTATTGCACAAACCTGGTTGCAGTAATCCTATAACTGGTAACATTTGACGCGCTTTTACGAATCTTATGCTGAACGGTATGGACTCACTCCTCTGCCGCCTCGTTTCGGAATAATTGAGAACACCTCTCTTTTGCGCTGTTTCTGCACTTTAGGCGAAATTGCGCGGTTCTCCCATTTAATTCTAATGTGCTAAGCTTTACTATAGGGCGACGTCTTTCAAAAATTCCTACTGCAGACCTTCCTTCCACGGCAAAACCTCTCCCAGAACTATATTGAGCCGTACATAACCAATCTTTGCACGCAGACCCTTTCAGGCTTTCAGATATTTGCCAAGGTGAGCTACCCCTCCTCTCCTCCTTCATCCTCTTCTTATTTCTCAATTTATTCGCGAACTCAACCGCTTGTCTCCTCCTCTCCCCTTACAGAACTTTTATTCTTCATTCCGATGATCATCCCACGCGTGGATCAAAGTTAGTTTTTTTATCCTTCCTCATTCTCGTCTATGTTTTCGAGTTTACTCCCACCCCACCCGCTCTGCTATCTGGCATTGCCAACCCTCTCTCGGGGTTTTGTGTAGGGGAAAAAGATGAAGAGGAACCGCCGATTATCTGGATTTTGTTTGCCATTATGATTCTAACCAACCTACCGGTCTCTGTCTCTGGGCACCTCAGTGCCTCCCTCCTGCTCTGTAGGCCATCGGACATCAGAACTTATTATTGTGGTACCCATTCTGGAAATAGGGAAGACCTCCCATTTGTAATTAAAAGGCGTAAATATTTGCATTTTCGCTCTTTGAATACATTCTTTTTGAGGGGTGACAGTGATCATTGTGATTGAAACGATGGGGATGGTGGGATATGACGTTTCAACTCAAGGTGAGGTTTGCAAGCAGTTGGGGTAGCACAGTGCCGGCCTTCCCCTCAAAGTAGAAACTAGAAAATGATGAAATAGGGCTAGTTAAGCTGTTGGTGATTAATGGTAGTTTTGCTGAAACCTTTGGTGATCATCTTTCACAGAACGCTGTTTTATGAAGAACGTGCAAATTCAGCGTGAGATCCCAAGCCCCGAATTGGTACGCGCAGCAGAGATATGTGAAGTGCATCAGTTGACTTAAAACTCCCGAAAAGATAATTACACAGATAATTTCATCAGTCAAATGCTTGATCATATCCACTTTTGGACCTTGGACGATCGATTCTACGGAGTGGATGGTATGATGAAACTGGGTACTTGGATCCCAAAAAAATCGCTCAACGGTTCAATCTATACCAGTAGCGGAACAAAACTGCTTCGCTGTAAAGCCCCCTGTGTCTCAGCAAAAAAGTTCAGAACCCACACGGCATTGCTAAACTATAAGGAGAGTGATACTTTAAAACTTACCGTCTATATTCTACCGCAAAAGTATCTCGACAACAGGCAGAGGCGGTCAGGAAACCTTGAGTCGGTGGGATGTTTTTATTGTTCAAACTGAGCACCAGCATCCCGCAAAACCCCTTAAGCAGTATTTAAGACATTCGTTTTGCCATCATTTTCAGATCCATCCAAAATTAAAAAGCACTCATTACAGACGCTACCGCCGTCAAAAATGGTCGCTTAATTCGCGAAATAACTGTTCTAAAACTGGCCATCACCCACACAAAGGGTTCGAACTCGATCAAGCTGCATCACCTTAGAGACTGGAGACACAAATGATAGATCCTAGTAGTACATCCAATGAAGCAATTTAATCACATTGACAACACATAATCTGTATTGGAATCAAGTAAGTGGAATCCAAATATTCGCATTTTGCAGCAAAAAACTCGTTAAACGAGTTTTGGGAGCCTAGTCGACTCATTTCAGTAGCAAAGCATAATTTCACAACCTAAAAAGTGACTATGCTGACAAACTGATGGTTTCAATGATTATTGATCACTTACGCAACGCTGGGAGTGATCGGCGTGGGCTCCACATTGACCTCGGCCACAGGAGTACCACGAGCGGCGATAGAGATAGGCAGTCCCGCGGCGGGGTAGACAACCGAACTGGTGCCTACTACCAGACAAACGTCGGCTGCAGCCGCTGCGGCTTGTGCTGCCCTCAAATCGTCTGGAAGGAGGTGTTCGTTGAACCACACCACATGCGGACGCAAGAGACCCCCACACTCTCCGCAGTGTGGCAGATCTTTTACGGCGATAGCTCCCGAATTAGCTGAGACATCTGAAGCCCTTAAATAGGAATAAATTTGATGTCGGATATCTTTTCAAAAGGCACTTAGGCAGGTAAATGATAGAGGTTAGTGGAACGCTGCCAGTTTGAAGAGGCAGGATGACTATATCTAGCAGAGAACCGCCTCGGACAGCCTCTAGTCGAGTAGTGATTCGTGTTAAGTTATAGTAAGTGCCTTGTTAAAAAGGAATGGAAAGGCGGATGCATCTCTCTAAAAAAACCGCCGATACAAAAGTACTACCGTTTGCCAAGGATTTGTCGCGGAAAATTCCTGCATTTCATGACATCATGGAAGGATCAAAATTAAGCCCACTCATCCACTTGGAGAAAATATCCTAGTTAATGGAAAGGGCAACTCGTGCAATTAAATCAGGTCTAGTAACCGGTTTCGTGAAAAACGAAATATAGACATTTCAAGTACATAAAAACCTGCACAAAATTGGCATTTGGCACAAAAAGCACGTATTGAATACTATAGGGCCGAGAGATCGGTATGCCCGGTGATAATAAGACCGGAGTAGTTCACAAACATATTTCAAGTTCGGGACAAAAAGGGCTGTTTATTAATCAAAAGTAGATACTGATGGGACAAAAATTCGCGTTAATGCATGTTTCAGATGCGGAATAAGTACAACTTTTCTCGGCCAACACAAGTAGTTATATAAAGCCTCGCGAAAAAAAGCAAGAAAACAAATTCCTAAAAATTAAAGCAGCCTTCAGATGTGCTATCAGGTTCTTGTTCTGCTCGTATGTAAACTAACTAAAAAAGCCTTGAAGGATGGCTTTAAAATAACCTCTTTTTAACCGGGACGGAGAAATCGACCAAATCACAACCTTAAATGGCCCATCAAAATGGCACTTGACGAAAGGAAGCTATCTAAGATGAAGTGCGTTTTGATTAGGCGAGAAATGATATTTTGACTTCAAGAGCATAACGTTTACTTCACCGGGTAGAAAGAATTTTGAAAAGAAAATGAGAAAGTATGGTAGATGAAGTGAACGAAATATAGTTATTAGCTAATAAAATCCCCTTGATGAAGAAATACAGTTTTGCTAATACAAGTGCAAAATCTTGCTGGATACTGAGACGAAAACAACCAACTAGGTTTAGAAGTATTAAGGAATTAAAAGAAGACTATCGCGTATGCAAACGAATGGGGGATGACCCAACAGAAAAATAGACAAAAATGAGTAAATGTTAACGCATTATTCCACAACCCTTCCGTCCACAGGTTTTATCACCAGCTCGTTGGCATGGCTGTCTGTTCCCGCCTATTCATCTGGACAGTACCTGTTCCCTCCTTATAAACAGAGCAAGCTGTGGGTTTGATTTGGAAGCCATCGACATTCAGCTAACAATATTTACACCCAAGCCTTCACAACAACAGTGTGAACTTATTTAAACATCATAACTGCGAACAAGGGGACATATTTTGGTTAAGTAAACCTATATTGAAAAGTGCGAGTAAAATCCAAGCCCTTCCCCAATCCATGACACTAGGGAACGGCTGACGGTTGGCCATGGAATGAATACTGGTAGTGGAATGTAAATCTGTACACAGTGAAGATGGAAACAGTTGGTCCGATATACGCAGGTTTAATATGCATATAATACGAAGGAAAAATGAAAGGTTCGGGTTACTTTGGCCTGCCTTAGATTACTTTGAAAGCATAATGTGAATAGACTTTCTTGGTTTCCAGTGGCGAAAACAAGAGTCTAATAGCAAGTGCTTACACATGCAAATATTGCTTAATTTCACCGTGGAAGTGCCGCAAATATATTTCAATGGCAACTTACCCTCGACCTGCCAAAGCCGGACAGATGGGATTAACCCGATTTTCCACAACAATTCCGCACTCTAAACAGCGGACCTTGAAGAGACTACCTGAAGTAGCGAAAGGACTAAGATTAAGCAGTTCGAATTCAACCAAAAGGACCTAATTTTGGATCAGTTAGTCCTATTTTAGCGCCATGAAAAAAAGCAAGACAAAAAATATGCGGAAAGTGAGGTCACTGGTCGTGACACTCCGCTAAAAACGAAATGATGCATACACCTAGAACGTGATTGAGGCTTATGAACTCGGATTAAGTAAACGTCGAACAGTGAGGGAGTGAAAATCTCTTGATTAGTTGGAAATTCTTACGTTATATCAGAATGTATCTTACCAGCTAAAGGCAAATTATTAAGTTATAAATTCAAGCTTCTACACACCTAAGGTCGATCGTTCTACTGCACTCAACGGTGAAATGATAAATCAGGTTGAATAGCGAAAAAATTGTTAAAGAAACCCTTATGGACCTAGGATGAAACCCCAAGTTGCTTTCACCGACGGGCACATCAACCCAGCTATTGATGAAGGGTTAGTTTTTGACAAAATTGTTCAAAGGATTGCATGTAAGTAATAATGGAATACACGCAGTGGAACCTCACTCAAAGTACCAGTCTACAGGGGATCGTCAAAAAATAGCAATATATAGATTCAATATTCTTTTTAAACCTCGAGAAATCGTGCCAACATCAGGTGTCACATAAGTTCAAAGAATCAATTTAAGCTGACAAACAATTTGCACGAAAACCAATGTATGTTTCCGAATAGGGATGTAACAAAAACGAAGACCAATGCATCAACGCATACCATGAAGTTCAATTACGTTTTTATTTCCGGCTAAGAAATGAAAACCGTCAACATTTTGCGTCGCCAGGGTGAATGACCGACCAGTAGTAGTAAACAACTTCTCCAGATCCCTGATAGCATAGTGACCTGCATTGGGTGATTTTTTGGAAACCAACTCTCGACGATAGTGATAAAACTCCCAAACTAAGCTCGGATTATAATGAAATGCTTCGCGTGTGGCCAAATTCTTCAAGAACAACCGCGATTAGACGCAAATAGGGGAAATTACGGTGACTGAGTATTTCCGCCAGAATCCATCCGCGCCACGAAATGTCGGAATCCCACTCTCGGCACTAATACCAGCACCGGTTATTACAAACAGCTTAAGAGATTTGTAATTTTACAACACCTACGTTCTTCGCTTTTGAAACTAACTTCCCGAACTCCACAAGATCGCCCGAAGGCATTGGGGCGCCAAAACCAACTATTCATTCAAAGGGTATGTGAATGAAACTTACGGGGAGCGAGGTGATAGCGGGAAATTAAAAAAGTGCACAGTAAGAGCTTTGAGTTTATTCGATGGCGTTTGTCATTTAGACATCCGAAGTTACACAAAAGGCACGTCGTACCCCAACTTTGTTTAAACGAACGCCAAAAACAGGACACATGATACATGAAATGATGGCCAATAATTCTTGTATTTTATTAGAATGCTGCACAAAAATAGGTGTGCTATTGACGATGAGCATATTTTGAGAAGTGCGACCACAATTGCCTTAACTGTAGCGTCTCGAGACTTCCCTAAAGACGAAAGAAAACACAACGCTCGGGCAGTGCATATGTATTCAGCACAAAGAGGGTATTTAAGCTACTGGCATGGCCCGAAGGTCAGCCCTCCCGGCGGGATAAAAAAAGGCCACTTTGAAAGTCGGCTCCACGCCAATACCGGAGGACAAACAGCCGTCGTATTACATAGCGGTTAAAGTTAATTTGTGTAGTTGCTATCTTTTGTCCGTCAAAGTAATTTTTAGACTGAAAAAAAAGTTTCGCAGGCGAAGGGTGATAGCAGCGTAGGGTAATTCTAAAGCCGCACTTGTTACTTGATCCAGTTTTACCCTATTTGCCACAAGATGATGGGAACCTTCTGTCGTATCTGTCAACCAAGTTAAAAAATCTGTCCAAAAGTTGCCACTTGATTGCGTTAAGCTATTTTGATACATTGAGTGTTAGGAATGCTCTGTTAGGCCCGCGTAAATTTTGGGTTGACATCTAGATGAATTCTGCTTAGCTCACACAATGTATGTAGTCTCTAGACAGAATATTCTACTACCGATGGCAAAAAATGTTAAATTTGAACCCATGTTTAGAAGCGCTTTACTGCTACAAAACAAACGATGCTTTAGTGCCACCATTAAATGAATATTTTGCTTGCTGACATAAAATTGTACTCAATTTATGATGTTTCTAGGCCATTCATGAATTTTATTCACGAAATGTTACAGCCTAACATGCATAGTCAGAGCTCCTTAATATCATTGGTTAGCCGGATGCTATTGCATTGCGACCACGCATTTCGCTCTTGACGTGGCTGCAGCCATGCGGAAGCTGAGAGGCGGTACAACCAAGGAGACCAGAAAGGATAAGTTAGAGAAGAGAAAGGACAAGGAAACCATTAACGAAAAGGTTTACAAGTTGGTTCTACCCACGGTTGGGGTCCTCACTCTCCTTCTCGTTGTCGTTGTGTACCTGTTGTGCAAAGCTCCGGCGGCTTCAGCTACGACAGAATAGGTCTCGCGTTTTCTCGTTATTTTTTATCTTTATTTTTCACATTGAATAATGTCTATTTGTGTATAGCTGGTTTTGTGTATAGATTGATCCTCTTTCCCCTACCTTCCTGTAATCGAATGAGTAATCTGGGTCGAGTTTTTGTCTTTTTGCCTTATGCGAAGTTAAAGAACCACATTTTTGTGCTTCTTTATTGTGGTCGCGGTGTATTTGTGAGTTTGCCGTGCCATTTATGCCGTGCTCATAAATTATACACGTGCACATAATTCACTTTAATTCACGAAGTGGTTTGTCATGGTGTGGGAAGAAACTAGGTCTAGAGGGTCCATATTAATGTGTTTTCCGAATTCTATGCAGCAGTAGATGGTAAGGAACCTTGTGAGTAGTACCCCATATGCTGGCTAGTTTGCACACCTAGTCGGGTGTGCACTAGGCGATGCAATAATCCAAACGATCTGATATTGGGAGGTTTTCACGTATTCGCGTCTACTGTGAGGCCTCACTGAAACAATTCGGCACGGCCGCCGTAATTGATTACCTCGGTAATCGAGGTCTGTGGGCCTATCTTGGAGTCAGGCCATTGTTTGATTCCCCATGGTTGAGATTTGGCACTGATATGTTTTCCAAGTCCTGGGGCGCAAAAGAAGTCCTGGATGGTGTGGTTCCCGGTTATTCTTGTGGTGGCGCGCATGTTGGCGAGTGCGCCGGTGCACACGCCGCCGTTTTGAGAGTTGGCATCGCTTGCAGCTCCTGACAGCGTATTGGGAAGGGTTCCAATTTGCCTTGGCAGCGGTACGGTGCGGGCGTTAGGTCGCTGTAACGTCGTCTCAAAGCGTGCCATGGGATCTGGGAGCACTTTAAGAGCTCCTTGGTGTGACCTCCCAAATCAAGTTTTCTGGTGGGGTGGGGTGGGCTATCGCTGAGGTGGCTTTCCGGTATGCTCATCACCGTGTCCTGAAGCCCACGTGATGGTTGATATAGATGGAGTGGAGGGTAAGTGCTAGATCGCAGGACGTGTCAAGTCGTTCAAATCGGTCGGTGCAGTCATTTAAAATAAACGGGAGGTATTCTTGAAGTTGTGTTAATTGGGGCATGGGATGGTAACAAATGGAATAACATTTCGGTAGGAATATCAGGCAAGGTTCTTGTGATGTTTCCTTCTTGGTGGCGGCAGTAGATTTGCCAGATGGGAGGATTAAATCATTGTTTTTGAAAGGAATCTAGAAATCAGGCTACATACCCATAAACTCCAGAACAGGGTGCCAAAAGTCATGTGAATCATCGGACATTTGTTGAATTGCCTTTGATTGCCCATTTCATTTATTTCCAAGCCCTATTACTGATATTTCTGCTGAAACTATTCTGTGGTAAAGTGTGCTTTGTCAGCTACATGGTTTTCAACTTTTTAAATACCTTATTTTTTACTTATCAGAATAGTCCATTAGGTCATTTTTAACATACAGATGCGCTAAGTAGCGCATTAGTATCAGTTCTTGGCAAACTATCTTAGCTGATATTTGCCTGATAGCTTGCTTAAAATGATAAAATAGTCGCAGAAACTTCATTTTAATGTTCCCAGAGTGCATAGGAATGGTTTTGGGTTTGGCTCAAGAGTCCATTCTGAAGACCTGGAAGTGATGGATTAGTCGAACTTAAGCCGCACGAATAAACTTAATTTACCGTATACTTCCTTCATCTCGATGGTTCTGCTTTAATGTTGTCATTTAGTGAAAGGCAAGGAATCTTTGTTTTATAGCTGAGGGGGATATCGGAAGAAGTTGAGGTTAGCCGGCATGGCCATCTGACTGATCCACGTGTACGTTAATTGAGAACTCACCATTACAAACCCCTTTCAGGGACGTTCATGGTTAACTTTAAATAAAGTTCACCAGTACTTTTTTTACAATGAAGGCTCTTTTGAATTTCCTGCGGTTGCTACATCGATGTGAAGGCTTTTCCCAGTGGACACATAATCGTCGCGCCGGCTGCAAGACGGTGGGAGGATCAGTGGGCGAAGTATCCGGATCCTGATGCAATAATTCCAATTTTTCGCAAACTCCATTAGTTTTATTGCATTTTGGTATGGCGAAGTCTAAGCCATTCACGTATGTGATGAGCTTCCAAGGGAGGGGATATTCTATCAAACCTCACTTTATCGGAGTTGTCGATAGTGGTTTATCCCTAGGTTCTAATGAGGCGCCAAATTTGTACTTTGAATTAGCCCCCTTGTACCTCGCTAGGTGGACTGGCCTTTCGGGCCATGCCAATAGCCCAGACACCTTCTCCGTGCTGAATATATATATATTCTGCCCGAGTATTGTGTCTTCTTTCGTCTTAAGGTAGTCTCAGGACGCTATACTTCGTTCCCAAGGTTGCAGTCACTTTTGAACCACTACAGGAGAGTTGTAAGCTCAACGTCTGCAGATGACTACGTCGTACCGCTAAAATGCTGCAACAAAGGAAGTTGTCGTCTTTGCCATCGGAGCTTCTAAGTATAGAGTAAATGTCATTTAATTTATGCTATCAATCACACGATCTCTTGCAGACCCATTAATCGGGTTCCAATTCATTTGCAGACACTTTGCACATAAGGGCGTCTATTCTTCGAATAATCTTGTTCTTGAATGCGATCACTCGAATCTGCACCTTCACTAAATGACTGGGAAGCGATCAACGTCAAAGAGGGATCTGAGCCATTCTTGTTGTAGTAATTGTCTCAGTGGCTGTTGTGCCATCATTTTGGGTACATATGAGTCCGATTGCTCCTCTTGGATACCCTGTTTTTTGAGATGCGACTTCTGGTGAGTTAGCTGGTTAATTTTTATCATGAGCCTCTTTCTGATAGCTGTTGAATTAAAAAATGGTCGTTTTGGTTGCCGTGATGCGCATTCGCTTGACTCTGAGCTCAGGTTTTTTCCTTGTTGTTTTCGTAAAAGTCTAGTGCATGGACTGTGGTTAAATACTTCCAAGATGTTGCCAAAAACTTGTTTTGGAGAACTTATGTTGACCATAATTACTTGTGGATTGTCTCGTGTTAGTAGATAATCACATGGTTGTTTTTCGTTCCTAGTTTGCAAAATTAGCAATCCTTATGTTCCCCAATGCAGCAGTTTATGAGTCGACGGCAAGGTCTACGCTACTGTTTGAATTACTTTTCTTGGATTCACATCTCGATTCCCAGATGCTGTTCAACCTGGAATGGCAATGGTATCGACCTTTCTAATGTTTAATTTGTTCCGCTTAAGAATTTCACTTTATTTACTAAAAGCATTTTGTCCTTACATGCACTCATTCATCCGGTTCACTTGTCACTTGCTTCGAAGATACTTGGTTTCTTAAGTGCTTTTTAAACTGTTTTGTATTGCCTCACATGCGAACAACATGCTCTACAAGCAGCAATTTAAAAATCTTGAGATGGGCGATGCTACGGTTTACACAAAAATAAAGACAGTTGTTGCTTTTTTAATTGCTACTTGACTACAACACATGCCTGGCTATTTCGTACTAAGTAGAAACTCATGCATATTTGCTCTCGAAATCTTACAACATTCTATCTTCACTCCCTTTTGTCTTCAGATGCACTATGCTACGTTGGAAACAGATGCCAGTATTACCACCGCTTTTTTAGACGACTTCAGGTAACACCTCAGTGCCTCTCAAAGGCGTCGTAGTGGGGATTCTAGGAGACGCAAATGAAGTGCTTGCTGAAGGCCGATTTCTTTCTTATTCGCTTTATCTTACCCCTTATAATAAACTGAATTCGGAAAATGCATAATTAAGTTATTAAATGAGTCTAAATTAGGCCTTGTGTGTTTTGATGCTAAAATTTCCTTTTACTTTGGCGCAATTGCTTCAGAAATGAACACTGATGAAATAGGAATAGTTTTTGACAAAGTAGAGCAACCGGGATAAAAAGTCGGATTAGTTTGTACTAGGATTGTGCAGCGTAGTAAACTTTATAACGGTCTCATTCCTGTGAAGGGATAACCACATAGTTGAGGGGAGGTATTCATAGTGGTTGGGCATGCTCGATCATTTATTTTCGTTTTTTCATTCTCCCCGTCATTCCGAGGGAAAGCTTGAAGAACATCAATAATATGACACTATAGAGCTTCGGGTAATCCTTAAAGACAGTAAGCTAAGTTAGTATGAAAGAATGCCACCTACGTATACAAGCCCTGATGGGCTTTGAGCATGACAAAACACCATACCACCAACTGAGAACCCAAAACTACGGAAAGACTGAAGAGTTTACGTTGCAAAGCGTACTGTGCCGCGGGCTCTGCACTCTCCGCAGGTTTTATTTCCATCTTAGGGACATGAATTCCTGGCGTCGTGTGCATATCTCCAGCCCATTCGTACGCTTATAATCCTTCATTTCGACGTGGATTATTGCCGCTTGAGAGAATGCTTCGACCGCTATGCTTCTGACGGTAGTAAGCGAAGAAGAACTCTGCGACTACTCGCAGCAGAAGGACTATCGAATCGATGTCCCCTTTCCAGTGTTCCTCAGTGAGGCTATTGACAAGCGTGCGATGCCGAAATTACGTAATTGGGGAAGTCAGTCTTTGGAATCATGCAATATTTAGTTAAAGGTACCTCTATTATGGGAGTAAAGGATGCCCCTCTCCGCATCCCCAGTGGCCGAAGGGGATCCAGATTGACGACTGGGTAGCATTGAAACAGGGACGAAGTGGGTAGAGGGATACGCTGCAGAATATTAGCTATGTGTAACTGATTGAAATTGTTTTTATCAAGGAGCTTTACTTTTGGACAATCATTACTACAAATAGTGATTGAAGGGCGAAACTTACTCTCTGTAGAGCTCCTTCTAGTCTTCAGCGGCGTCAGACCACTAAATCTCTTCAATGCAATTCGCGAAGAGAATACAGCTCTGAATACAATGGAATTGGTGTTCGAGTCAAATGTCTTTTCGTTTCTGATGAGTCTTAATTATTAGCTTTGCCAGTTGGTGGATAGTTTTAATGCATTTTCTTACAAGGTGATGACTACCGTGGAATAGTGACCAAGGGAGGGCTCCTCTGGCAATCCTTCCATTTTCACCATAATGAAGCTTCTAGTGAATTTCAATGAGCAAAGAGACGGTGTCGAAGGTGGTAATGATGTATTGTCAGCAGAGCAAGAATCCTGCCTGTTTCAATATTGGCAATACATATTGCAGCTTTGTCAGGGAATTACAAGTGTTATGTACTCTCTGGGGCTTAGTGCCTTGGGGAAGTGTTGACTTAGCAATTGTCTTAAGGACAGGGCAATGCTCTGTGGCGGCAGTGCTCCATGCGCCAATTGAATATTGTAGTTGCACTTCTCTAAGAGCGGCATAGGGAGATATCCTGTTTGCTGACAAAGAAGCAAATATTCATATTCGGGGGTTTATAGTAAGCACCTCCTTGAGATCGACTTCGTCTCTCTGAAATCTCACCTTGTTCCATCACTGAACATTGAGCAGATCCTAGAATTGGGATGGTGGCAAGAGCCGACATTCTTGTTAACCCGTTTATAAGTTTAGACAACCATAGCTGAATTTTATTTTATTGTGTTTAGATTTGGTAACAAGCTAACGGGTCGGGCTTGCTTACCGCCGCCACTGGTGTGGCCCTCCAAGTCTAATCTGCAAACGTAGTAATGCATGTCAGTTCAAAAGAACGATTACTGAATTTGCAGCGACCGAAAAGTTAGCTTATTTAGAGCTTAAAGGTGTTCCGTTACAGTATGATTTCACTACATAAATTTGCCTATTTTTTACTGAGTAATGACACTGCGATTTCGTGGATAAAATGTGAAACCAATCAGGTAGGAAACAATGCTATCGTGTTTCCTTGGACTTGGTGAGCTTTAGTATTTTAGTTACAGTCTTCCGGCGCGTCAACATTTACGGGGGGCATTTTAAGGCATACCGTTACTTCTTCGCTTTCAGCCAGTATACTCCTACATTCTTCGAAAAGTATTTCTCATGCACTTGAAAGTAAGATTTCATACCCACGTTTTATGCACACCACCATCTAAGGAAGCATGACTAGGTAATGGCTTACTACAGCGATCCTGTTTTCTTCTGTGACGCCATTTTTACGCCCTCAATACAGTCGAAAAGAATGAAGGGACACCATGACGACAGGGTTAGCCGTTGATTTTTGGTTAGCTGGGAAGACAGGCAAAATAACGAGATTAAGCGTCAAACCCACGTGCGTAGTTTGTGTCAAGGTTTGAGGTCCATTATGTGCATTGTACGATTATTTTATTATACAGTGAGCGCATTTTCATGGCTAAAAGAGTTTTTGGGATTATTATATGGAAGTTGTGATTAGACCAGTAATGCTAGTGATTGATAAACACAATTTCAGAGCAAGTACGTACTGCAGTAGCGCCTTGAGTCTTTCTTGAAGTCACAATAAGTCTTAATAGTACGGCAAGAAACAGAATACTGATGGAAAGAGGCGACGGGGCCACTTTTGTGGCCAAGATTAGTAAACTAAACTAGCAAAGTATATCGGTGTGTGAGTTTATATAGTTATGTCAACTTCGGTCAAAAAATTTTTGGATAAAGAAGTAGTAAGTTGCTTGGGTGTTCCATAGAACACTGATATCAATGAAGTAGCACAAATGACGAGGTAATGACAAAGTGTAATAGTTCTAAAGCAATAGTAAAAAAAGAGGACAAAATCTAAAAAGCATCTAAGGTTTCATTGAAATATTACAATTCTAACGCATGTAACCAAAGCCGCTTTAAAAATGTTTAGTACAGTCATGTCCTCTGGCGTGTAATTTGAAATCTTGGCTAAAATCTCGTGCTATTACAGAGGCTAATTAACTAGTTATTCATGTGCACTCGCAAGCGAAATCGTACAGGGTCGATTGATGTGGGGATGTTGGCAACTTGTCCGGATTTGAATGTTTCCTTGTGCTAAAATGTCTCTTGTGGGAACCCGCCAAAAACCGGGATGTCACATAGGATGAAACCCCGGAACAGCCACTGAAGTTTTATCCGCAGTCACTACCAGAATTAGAGTGGCTGAGTTGGTCACATGAATTCCTGACTCAAAGTTGCCCTCTCCGCACCAAAACGCCCAAATTTAAAATTGTGCACTGAAATAATTTGCTTATATCCCTTAAGACGATTTAAATAATTGAAAGCTGGCGCCTCAAAAGTAAGGCTATCAACTGGAAAGTCATTACTTGGTCAAAATCATTCACCATCAAGAACATAATTTCAAGGTAAATGGTGTTGTTTATACTAACCGCTGATTTAAGTTCCTGTTTAAATGCCGCAGGTGTGGTGTTTATATGTAAATCTTATGGGGGTCTGTTATCTGCTTAATCTGAATTTTGCCCTCGTCACAAATGAGATCTGCGTTGAACTTTCCCACATGTCGGTTTCTGCAAAACAAAGTGGGGACCGTACTTCGTTCTCCCCGGCCTTACATTCTGGACTTCAGTTTTAATAAGCTTCCTTTCAATTCTCTTAAATCCTGTATTCCTGAGTCTTCCAGAAAAACTATTAATGCGGATCATTTGCCTACAGAATATAGAGAGCCATACATTTTGAAGGGATACAGAAGTAGCACCGATTTTCTGGGCAGTCTTCATTCTCTATTTTGGTTGCATAATGAGTCTTTTAATTGCTGGAGTCACATCCTTGGAATCCCCATGGTTCTTTCCTTCTTTGCTGAAGAGTACATTACTTCGTCAAGCCCTCTAATGTATCTGTACCTCTTTTCCTGCCTTTGCTTTGTCCTGGGAAGCAGTTTCGCCCATACATTTTGCTGCTACAGTAGACTTTCTCGTGATGCTTATTTCACGGTGGATTATATTGGTCTTACTATCTTCACTTGTGGTTCTGGTGCGGCCTACGTTGCCTTCTCATTTCCAATAGAGTTGTCCACGATACCCGGCGTGTCAACTTTTTCCTTTTTG